CACACAACTTCACAGTATATGAATGAATTCTGTGTACATTTGGAACCTTTAATTTTGACCTTTTAACTTGGACATCAATTGACAGCAAAACATGTGAGGAAAGCCAGCCACAATCCGCAATTTTAGCAAGAATATCAAAGGAATTCTCCAAGCCAGTCATTCCGAAAATAGAGCCTTTAGACAAAGTTCCTATAAGCGCACTGAGAAGCAGGTCGCAAACCAAAAAACTCAAAGAAAGGTATAATTATGGTGCATTATTTTAACTGTTATGTAAATACTATCTTTGCATCAACCCGTTATTGAGATTTACTCTCTCATTTCCGTTTCAGTGTTGGAGATGTTGATTTCCTGAAAAAATGATTTCTCAAAGATTTAATGATGGCCTGGTGCATGTGATTATACCTATGTACATTTTTTGGGCATTTTACTTCAAAACTTACGCACTGCAGGCACTGGAAGATTATGTTTTTATGTTTTTTTTTCCAATCGTTAAGGCGATAACATAGCTTGCAAGACATGTATTTTGTCGAGTTGCATGCACAGACAAAATATGTGTGGACTACATGTTGCTTCAGTTCCTTATGTTAAAACAATATTTCGTTGTGATTATATTTTTGGTTATGTCAAACTTCTAAATAGCCCTCTTGAATATCAATGCACTGATTATGTAAAGTTAATTTGATATAATTGCAAGCTAAAATACTTATTCTACAACTACGGTTAGCTTTTATGTTTGGTTTTCACATTATGTTGAACCATTTCTATTGGTTTATACTTTTTTAAGATTGGCTAAGTTGGGTTCTATATTTGTAGACTAATATTGCTTCTGCCATCAGGTGGTTAGATGTAGATTTTGTAGGACTTTAGATAATGGTGATTCATAATTACACATATTTATTGGAATTAAACTTGCAATCCACACTCTATGCACCATCAAATCTAATTCTAAGACTCCTGACATTTCAATATAATTTGGTGAGACGTGCTATCATCAATAATTTGTGTCTATTTCTATTAGAATGATTCATGTATGTCCTGCATTACGATTTCAAACCCCTGCAGCAACGCGCGGACACTTTTCTAGTATGTTCTATTTTTCGTGTTCCAAGTTCAAAATCTGGCATTACAATAAAGTAAAAAGTTATGCATTGTAAACAAAACAAATAAAAAAAGTTTTAAATAAAAAGAAATATTCACCTTTCGCCTGGGTGTGTCCTTTTTTAAGTTACGGTGTTGCAATACTGAAGGTTGTCTTTGGCCTGGGCACGTACGACGGATTACACGGATCGGTTCCAACTCCAAGTAGAGACAATAGAGATCCAAGGAAGCAGAAAGACAGCAATCCCTCACTCATTACACAGCAAAACCCTTTGAGACAGACAGACAGTTTTAATTTAGGGTTTTCTGATAGACCTAACTGGACAGGGAAACTTGAATCATAGTCCCAATAGGATTTTCTCATAAATTATCTGCTTAAACTAGGATTTTCTCTATAACTTTTTAATTGTGTGAAAAAGACTATAGAGGACATATTGAACCACCACAAACCCTAACTAACATAATTAAGTTTGATCGGGAGCAACACCTCGTTTTCTCTTCTTTTCGAACCACTTTGTTTTTTGATAAGATCGAAGAAACAGTACGACTTTCACCTGCAGAGAAATACAGTTACGACCATCCTTTCAATAGAGAAATTACGGACCAAGTAATTAATTTTCAGGATAATCGCTTAAATCAATATACTCAATAATATAAAAAACTAGCTGCTATAGCTCTTTACTCGTAGATGACGTTTAGCGGAAAGCAATGATACCTATGCATTTTGATACGCATTCAATCCTCACCCATCCTTCTTCTTAACAACTAACAATTTATGCATCTAATGCTATCGATTGTCAAAACATAAAAATTTAGTTTACTTTTTTCATGGGCTAATCCTATACGCTGGCCTTTCATTGGCTGGGTGGCTAAAGTTTGACATTGAAGCCTTTCACAGCGACGACCACAGCTTATCTGGTTATCGAGTCATCGTCCTATTGGTAATAAGTTTTCAATTAAATAACTAATCATCGTAATTAGGTCGGTTGGAATGATAAGCTACTCACCCCTAATGGTTTGGGTGTAATTTTGTAACCATATATGTTAAAAAATTATTAGACCTTATCAATTAAATCCCAATTGATATTTTCTTTTCTTGAAGCTAGCTCATTTAAAAAAAAAATCACTCAAATCATAAATCATATGAGTGTTAGATTAAATGATGGTCATTTTAGTATTTTTTTGAGACACCTTATTCGCTTATTTTGTTCACTACAATTATAATGTTTTAATATTTTTTTTCTTTTGAACAAATGTTTTAATAATTTTAGATGGTCTAATTTTTTGTAAAGATATATATATATATATATATATATATATAAAGTTAAAATATAAATAGTTTGAATCATTAAAAAATATTACGATATAAAAAACATTAAATATAATCTGTTTGGATTATTGTATAATGTTACAAAATGAACTCCACAAAGATATCTCTAATATTTTTCTGAATAGAAGGGAACTGATGTTAACTACGTCATGGTCTTTGTTTCCATTTCATGATAAATGGTTGTTCATTTAAGATAAACTTACCAAAGAACGAGGGAAAACAACACAATCCAATTTCTTACCTAACCTTCGTAAGGGAAGGTCATGAAACCGATTCTCTTTCATTTTAATCTCTTTTTCCTTTCCTCTCTTCTAATATAAATTGTTACAATTAAGTTACGTCAGTATCTTGTTCTAAATATATTAAAAAAAAGAGTAGTGTTACATTTATCGTCTATTTATATTATTATTTGTCACATATTTTTAATAGAAGTATGATCTATCAACACATGTGGATTTCATCTCTATTAAACAAATACTACAAATAAATGTAAAAATAACATTTTCGTAAAAAGACAAAAATATAGTGCTGGGAGTGGGAGAGAAGTGGACGGTAATAGGAGGGATTCGAGGGAAGAGACTCCCATGAAAACACTAGAAAATTTATCCAACGGATAGGGCACTTTCGAGCCTTTGAATCCAGTGCTTGTTCACCTTACCGACCTAGGAAAGATCCCATGGTGGGCCCATTTGAATCAAGTTGTAGCGGGACCCATCGCCCCCGACCTTAGAAACAAAAGAAAGCGGTGTACGCTAACTAAACGAAAATTCCAAACCTATCCATTAGTACTGGTTTGATATTAAGATACTTTTATAAAAAGTGAATATAAAAAAAAGTTACACTTAAAAAGATATTTAATAAATACTTTAAAATATCTTATTTTTACAATTTTAGATAAAAATAAACTGAAAACGTGAAACAGTAAAAATAAGTTCATTCTCATAACATAACAGAATCAATTTTTTTTTTAAATACAGGAATATCAAACCAGCCCTAACCAATCATGATGAACAATAGAACACCGGTATGTCAACCGCGTTAGAGGACTATATTGTATGTGTCGTGGAATCCGAGGTAAGGGGGACCCGCCAGCTTGCGCAAGCCACGTGTTGGGACCGGCGTTTGCCAAGTGTGTCAAGCTCGCACTGGAAGCTCACCACGTGGACTCCCCATATATACCTGGTGGAGTGCACCTCATTTTGTTTGCATTGGTACCGGGACCCACATGAATTGTTTAATACCGTGGGGTCCATGGAGATTAACTGACAGCTGTCAGGTCTTTGTGAGTCTCGAATTGCACCTCATTTTCTTTATGATTTTTTAACCATTAAATTAAAAAAAACTAAAAGAAACTGAGGACAAGAATTGAGAAAGATTAACCGTAATCCCTAAGTACTAAGTACTACGGCATTGCTATTTTCTTCACTTATATAAAAAAAAAATTATGTTTGAACATCTTAAATAAAGAAGTAAGTTGTAGCAATGGTTTTTGAACTTTAATCAAACTGGAGCAATGATCCCTCGACAAAAAATTCATTACTATTGGTCTCTCAACTTATCAAAATATGTAACTATGGTCATTTTCCTCAACTTCGTCAGAATTTTGTCAAAATAAGTTATGTTGGAATAACCATTGCTACAATTAGAATCCCTCAACTCATCAAAAATGTAACTTGTTGAGAGTTGTCCCACATTGGTGAGGGACAAGATTTGCTATATGCTTATATAATCTTGGGCTACTCCCCATATTGCTAATTGGTTTTATGATGGAACCTTAATTTCATTATAGTATCAGAGCAAGGTTGTCCACATATGAAACCCAACGGCCACACGCACTCCACGTCACCTAGTTGTTGTCCATATATAGGCTTGAAAATCCACCACACGTGCGGGGCGTGTTGAGAGTTGTCCCACATTAGTAAGGGATAAGGTTTGCTATGTGCTTATATGATCTTGGGCTACTCCCCATATTGCCAATTGGTTTTATGACGGAACCTTAATTTCATTATAACTATGGTCTTTTTTGTCAACTTCATTAGAATTTTGTCAAAATGAGTTATGTTGGAAGAAGCATTGCTACAATTTGGTCAAAGTTTAAGGGATCATTGCTCTAATTTGGTTAAAATTTAGGGATCATGTATCCAGTTTAATTAAAGTTGAGGAACCAATGGTAATGAATTTTTAATTGAATGACCATACTTGCACATTTTGCTGAGTTGAAGGATCAATGGTAATGAATTTTTAGTTAAATAACCATTACTCTAATTGAGATGAATGTCTTGAATTGCTGATGATAAATAAGTTTTGCATTCATTCCATATTTAAATCTTAATAAAAGATGTTATTTACGCTTTAGAAAGGAAATTTTATGAGAAAATCTTCGTTTTAAATCAAATCAATAAACGTTGCATTCATATTTCACGAGTATGCAATAATAATTACCAAAACAAAATATCAAATATAATTAAAATGGGAAATAAATCCTCCATTGATGCGGGTAAATAATCTACTGGCTGTCACCTTCCAGCAATCTCTCTCTCTCTCCAGCCAAAGTCTATAAGTAGAGCGCCGTGGGTGAGCGTTTTCTTTCACCGACCTAAAAAAAGACTCACTTTTTCTGTTTGTTTCTTGGGAAAATTCTACACACTCTGTTTTTCTCAACCCGCCAGCTGAATTCCCGCCCCCGGAAACAAATTCCAGGTAAATTCCTTCGCCACTTCTCCCACTTTCGGTTTCGATTAAACGGCCAATGTGAATTTCAGTTAATCCCTGAGTTTTTCCGCAGTCGAAAATGGCGCAATTTCAGAACGACGAGCTGGAGTACGTCGTCGACGACTACTTCGACATCTCCGACTTCGAAGACACCGACGCTTTTGCCGGTAACCAGCTACGGGGAAGCCACGGCGCCGACTCGGACTTTGACGACGACGACTTCGCTGAGGTCGCCTGCAGTGTTACTTTCGTGTGTCGAATTTTGGGTTTTTGTTTTTTTTTTTACAAGAATTTTTTAATAATTGGGGTTTTTTGCAGAGCAAGGAGAAGACTGATACTTCGGCAATGGAAGCTCGAAATGGGAAGGACATACAGGGGATTCCGTGGGAGCGGCTTAACTTCACCAGAGATAGGTACCGTGAGACCCGATTGAAGCAGTACAAGAACTACGAAAGCCTCTCTCTGCCTCGCCAAGACCTCGAAAAGGTGTCCATTTTATATCCATCTTCACTCTATTTTTTGTGGGGTCTGCATATGTGCACTGTTTTAATACGATTTAGAAATGATTGATTGGCTTTAGGATTTCATTGCCGGTCTGCCGGGTGTAGGTGTAAATAAGTTGGCTAGAGCAGTGTGCTTCCGGTTAGACTAATTAGAAGATCGCTCGAATAAATAATAAAAAATGCCGTGTTGGTCTTAAAGGCTACATCTTTTGCAATATGTAGCAAAATGATTTTTACCCATCATATAGCATGAATCCTGCTCTTTATGTTTTTGCTATAGGTTCTGATTAATTAGAATTGCATTGCTGGTGCAGATCGGCGGTACCAAGTTGGCTAGATTAGCGTGCTCCTTGTATTAGATTAATATCGCTCGGATATATCGAAAAGTGCCTTGTTGGTCTTAAAGAATTCATCTTTACCTGTGTATTGATGCTTCCCTTCATGTTTGTTATGTAATTCTTAAGAGGGCTGATTTTAGGGCTGCCCCAGATTCGTTTTCTTTGTTTTGTAACTTGTTTGTAAATCTTCTGCCTTGACAGGAGTGCTTGCCAGTGGAGATGGGGAAGACCTTCTATGACTTTCACTACAATACAAGGATTGTCAAGTCCACAATTGTGCATTTCCAGGTAGATATTTTGTTCTTGCTTCTCTAAACTATTTGGAAAATGTTTTACAAGAAATTTGTTTGTGAGTTTATTGGATGCCAGGAACATAAGAGTCTTTTGTTGTTGAGTTTGTTTAATTTTTCAATCCCCTTGTTTTTCTTTTTCAAAACTTCATCCACTTGTACTGTTGTAACATTTGCATAACTTTCATCTTCGTACTCAGTTCGCAATCATATGCATATAAATATTCATCCTTTCATGTAGGTCATTCGTTTTTCTTAGGGTATTGTTCATCAAGATAATTTACCCATTTTTTCACTGATCATAGATGGTGTGTCATGTTCATAAAGCTTATGTTACGTTTGAACTGTGTGCCTTGCTGCTAGATATAAGCTTCTGTTGTAGTTTTGCAGGTCTTATAAAAATATGTTTTATGCTTTATGAAGGGTGTCTTATTTTATGATTGTGGTTATGTCCCTCAACCATTCACAGGAAGGTATGGAGTTCATAATGGTTCTCTCTTTGTTGGCCTGTATTGTAGATCGTGTGTATTATTGAGAACTAAATTGTAATAATGAACTTATTTGCCTAACCTATAATTAATTAAGGTTCCCGCTTAGACTGTAGACAATAGGCGTCACAAATTTGCTGCATTTTTGCATTCACTGGCATCATAGATTTTCTCATTAGGCAGCCACTATAATTGAAATTAACTTGTATTTTACCGGTTTTAACTTTTGGTATTAAAGGAGTTAGAATAACAGTTAATCAATAACTAAACCTTAACAAAGTGTGCATTTGTGTAAGATTAAGAGTAGTCGTGAACACCTGAACTTACAAGTCTCATACATCTTGAGGCTTGTGTTTGAGCTTGTAGATAAACTAGACCTCTTAAATTGTTGGATCTTACATAGTTAACCATGGGTTACACATAATATTCAAATATTTTTTAATCAGTTCACTTTTGTACCTTCTGAATTTTTCAGCATGCCATTTCTTTTGCATATCGCGGTCATTATTACTTTTGAATGTTGTCACTGGTCCTTGCATTTTGATTTGTGGTTTGTGGTGGTAAATATATTGCTTCTGTTGACTGTTGACTATAATATATAACTTTAACCCATCTGTTGCATTTAGGATTGCTATTTCTCTCTTTATTTCAGCTTTTACAGCAGGGTGGAAGTTAGAGCTGCTGGCGCGACATTGTTAATATGGTATGGTAGGAAAATATTTGAGCATTAAGAGGCCTCATAATAAGTCAATGCGTTCTGTTCATGAGGGGCCTGACTAACACAGTTCTTGCTTTCTTAGACTTCAAAATTTCCCTAGAATTTTGTAGGCATCCGGGGACTTCAAATTTGCACATCTTTTATATTCTTTAACTGTCATCCAAAGTATATGTTGTGGTTACATACTATCTGCTCATACTCCTCTATATATTTGATCATGATAATTTGGATTGGTACTTTTCAAGCAAGAGACTTTGCGTCTTTTTGTGACCTTGAAATGCCATTGGATTGGTCATGATCATTTTGTTGTTCAGCCCTATTCTGTGCACGTGTCTTTGCTTTGAACATCGAAGAGTGGTCCTTTTGTTCCATTTACATGTGCTTTATTCCTGGTTGGATGCATTTGTCTTGTATTGATGCATTATCATTTTAATCTCCATATTTATGTGCCTAATGATGTGGATAGATGTAGTCTTACCCTTAGCTAAGTGGAATACTGAACAAATTCCTTTGTCACATATCTAAAAAAAAATGCGTAGCGTAAATATCTCCTCATTACTTCAGGGCACTATAGTCTACTTTTTCATTCCTTGTGCATCCAATTTTTCATAAAATCCTCTTGTAACAGTCTGCAACGAAACGTTATTCGTTTTGGATTTCTTGGTTGGTGGTTTTTCGGGTCCTTGAAAAGTAACGACTGCATTGCATGGTTTTTTATATACTGGTCACTGTCCTTAATGATTTTGGTTTTATACTTCTCTATTGTCTTATGGCTGGTTAAAACTTTTGTATATCTGTCGTAGCATTTTAACCGTTAGTTCATATCTGGCATAAACAGACATAATTGTTGTGATGATCATATCTGGTTTTTTTGGATTGTTGAATGTTGTTACTAAGGTGCCCGTCAACTTGGTTTGCTTCTCCCTGTGCAGCTGAGGAATCTGTTATGGGCCACATCAAAGCACGATGTATACCTTATGCAGAACTTTTCAGTAATGCATTGGTCTTCCCTACTCAGGAGAGGCAAAGAAGTATTGAACGTATCAAAACCAGTTGTCCCGACTGAGGTATGTAAAGATTTGATTGATGAAATCGGGTTTGTTGAAATCCTGGCTAAAAGACCAGTCTGATTTTGAGTTGGTACATTCTTTCAGAAACGAGCTGGGTTGTTGGTTCGTCCACTCTCTAGAGTGCAAATAAGCACTATGGCTGTGAAGGAAAATTTATTGGTTGCTGGGGGATTCCAAGGTGAACTAATCTGCAAGGTATTCCTCAAATACATGTTCCTTTGTGACTACTGGACCCATCATAATAGCCATTGTCTCTCTATTCTAATGTTTTTCGTCTATGTGCCCAGCACATTAATCAACCTGGAGTTGCTTTCTGCTCAAAATTAACAACAGATGACAATGCCATCACAAATGCAGTGGACATTTTCCAAAACCCTTCGTAAGTCATCCACCTTTAACTGAAGTAGGTTGCTTCACTTGAAGACCTATAACTGAACTTTCTTTCTGCAGTGGCTCAATGAGGGTAATGACTGCAAACAATGATGCTCAAGTTAGAATTTTTGATGTCCAAAATTTCACTTGCCTCAGTCACTTCTCTTTTGATTGGTCCGTGAATGTGAGTACCCTCTACTGAAACCGTTGCGAGTGATTTGTCATTTTTATGTCTCGTCTTAGATTTTCTTGTTTATGGTTCTTGGCAGAACACCTCTGTCAGTCCAGATGGTAAGCTGGTTGCAATACTCGGAGATAGTGCGGACTGCTTGATTGCTGATGCTCAGTCTGGAAAAGTAAGTAGCGTTATTGTGGTGCGGTGTGTTTATTTCGTTTACGCAAATCCTATGCAAAGATCTGATGATTTACCTACCTACTTGGCAAAGGCTGTCGGAAGCCTCAAGGGTCATTTGGACTATTGCTTTTCCTCAGCATGGCATCCGAACGGACAAATTTTGGCTACCGGGAATCAAGACACCACTTGCAGGTTATGGGACATAAGGAACCTCTCAGAGTCGCTAGCCGTGTTGAAGGGAAGAATGGGAGCAATACGGGCCATAAAGTTCACTTCGGATGGTCGGTTTATGGCCATGGCTGAGCCGGCAGACTTTGTTCACATCCTTGACACCCAATCTGGGTACCTCAAGGAACAAGAGATAGACCTGTTCGGTGAAATCGCAGGAATATCGTTTAGCCCCGACACAGAAGCTCTGTTTGTTGGGGTCGCTGATCGGACGTATGGTAGCGTGTTAGAATTCAACAAGAGGCATCACAACCGATATCTCGAAGCAGTCTTCTAGTACAGTGCCTCCATGTTCATGCCCTCATGTCTGCATGCAAATACTCTACATATATATATATAGGTTTTGGCGTTTTGGGTAGCTTAGTCTGTGAAGGTGCTTTCTGAGCAAGCAGAAATGGAAGAAAATTAACTTTTTGGTTTTGTAAAGCACATTTCAGTCTCAAGTGTGTATTTATAAACAGCTCTAGTTTGTTCAGTCTTTCGTTCTTATAAATTCTGGGGCGACTGATCTCAAGTGTTATATATTTTTTTGTTTTCGGTTATATGAGAGCAAAGCCGAAGAGAAAGAAGCTATTCGTTTGATAACCATTTCGTTTTCATTTTTCAGTTTTTGTTTGCTTTTATTTGAAAGTTGAAAACCTTTTTGATAACCAAAATGTGAAAATAATTTTCTTAAGAGTTTTTAAAATTTGTTTCATAGTTTTCATTTTTGTTGTTACTAAACAAATTTTAGTTTAAAATAAATAAATAAAAATTAAAAGCGAAATGGATATCTATTGCTCTAAATTGTCTCTACACAATAGCGTATCATGCATGAGATTTGAATTGAAGCTTCAGTCTTTCTACGGTAGGTCATGTTTGGTGCAGAAATTGATAAGTTTGACTAGTTGGAATGTGTAATATGTATCATTTGAAATTAAAACTATGATGAAAGGGACCTGCCTGAGAATTTTTCGGATGCAGTTGCGTGCGGCTCAATCCAGACATACGTTGACGGTTTTCATTCAAAGTTGCCTCGTCGGTCTCATGCTCGTAAGCTTTTTACAGTGGGCCGAAAATTCTGAGTGTGATACCAACAAGACCTACAAGTTTCATAACAAGCAGATTATCCGGTGGCACATGTAGCGCCCCACAAATTTAATAAAAAATCAGTTGTCGGTTTGAAACAAATTTTATGTGAATTGATTTATCTTGAGTAGTAGGTTTGAAAGTTCGCTTTAGTTTAAGGACAGTAGGAAGGTAGTTGGATTTTGGAGCGGTTGGTAAGAGTAAAATGGAAGTGGTGTAAAATGTTGAATGAATATATAGTGGATTTAGAAGATACAATCATACAACTATTGAGCTTTCATTTTCCTTTTGTTACAAAAGGATCCAAATGGGCCAGTCTTGAGGTGATTCTGAACAACTTTTGCTCGTAGCATTGCTATTGTAAGAAGTGATTTTGGTTAACTAAAAGCAGTTCTAGTGCTATAACATATTAGTACTTTAAAAATTGTGCATGTAAAACACTTTAATAAGTGATTTTTGGTATCTAAAAGCAATTCTAGTCATCCTATGTTCTGAAGAAATAATATTTTTTAAAAGGTTTGATCCTTATTCAGAAATAGATACAATCATACAACTATTGAGCTTCATTTTCCTTTTGTTACAAAAGGATCCAAATGGGCCCGTCTGGAAGTGACTCTGCCCAACTTTTGTTCGTAGCACTGCTATCGTAAGTGATTTTGATTAACTAAAAGCAGTTCTAGTGCTATAACATATTAGTACTTTAAAAAGAGAAGTATTATTGGCACTCCAAAAATCTCATTCTACACTCCTCACAATTGTATTTTTCTTTTCCAATATAGAAAGTTTAGAGTGTAAAATGAGGTTTTTGAAGTACTAATAACAATTCCCCTTTAAAAATTGTGCATGTAAAACACTTTAATACGTGATTTTGGGTATCTAAAAGCAATTCTAGTCATCCTATATTCCAAAGAAATAATATTTTTTAAAAGGTTTGATCCTTATTCAAAAAAAGATAATAAATATTCAAAGTAAGCTCTAAATTCAAGATTTTCGATAAGAAATGTTTGTGAAAGACTGTTTTGCTCGTCACGTACGACCATAAGTTTTTGTTTGGCGACGAACAGAACCTTCTTGCGGTTCTCCCTTTTTTTTTAAATTTTTTTTTTATCAATCAAACAATAAATTTTCTTATATTAGATGTTAAATTAGCTGCCGACAGGATTCGAACCCATGACGTCATGCAAAGACTTAACTCCTTTCCACCACTGTGGCATGGCACATTTAGATGTACTTTTAAAATAACTGAAAGAGTTTTAAGAGAAATGTATTGAGGTTCCAAAAGCACTTGAAGTGCTTTCTACAAAAAACATCAATTATGTGTTTCTTCTAGGAAGCATTTTAAATGTTTTTCTAGGATTTACTAGAATTTTTACTAAGGATTGTTTTCAAAAACAAATTTCACCAAAAACACTTTCAGTTATTTTAAAAGTACTTCCAAACGAGTTTGTAATTGTGGAGCAGTAGAGATAGCATAATTTGGGCCGATGACAATAAACAGAAGCGTCCCTAAAGTGGTTTTATTTTAGTTGGGCCAAAAGTCTGGCCTGATTTTTGGTTAAAGTAAATTGGACCACAAAAGCATAAAAGAAAATATTTATAAAGAAAAAATCAAATCAAGAGGAAGGAAAACTAATGAAAATAACTTGAAAACTTTAAGTTTTAATCAAAATAACAAAAATGTATTGTAAGTGAATAGTACCATGAGTGATTTTTTAGAGTAAAAATGTTATTTTCGTTAAAAGTGAATAGTACTAGGAGTGTTTCGTTAAAACTCCCAAGATTTAAACTCAAAATGCAGTGTGTTGAGAATCAAGAGTAAATTGTAGCAATAGTCCTTTAACTTTAATTCAACTGGAGCAATGGTTCTTCAACTAAAAATTCATTATCATTTGTCCATTAACTCATAAAAACGTGCAACTATGGTCTTTCAACTAAAAATCTATTACTATTGGTCCCTCAACTTTAATCCAACTAGATAAATAGTCCCTCAACTTTAACCAAATTGTAGCAATGATCCTTCCAACATAACTCATTTTGACAAAATTCTGACGAAGTTGACGAAAAGAACTATAACTACACGTTTTGATGAGTTAAAAGATCCCGATTGTAGCAATAGTTTTTCCAACATAATTTATTTTGACAAAAATCTAACGAAGTTGATGAAAATGACCATAGCTACACATTTTGATAAGTTGAGGGACCAATAGTAATAAATTTTTAGTTAAGGGACCATAGCTCTAATTTAATTAAAATTGAAGGACCATTACTGCAATTTACTCAATAATCAATGTCCTGACTACTAGAGTTGCAACAATAAATACCAAATAAAACATACATATGAGAGATGTCATCAAACTAAACAGAAAAAAAAAAAGAAAAAAAAGTGAGAAATGCACCACGCCACGCATAGGAGAGGAGATAAACAAATAAACAAAATGCTAGGAAAATCATGCTTTTAGAATAAGGAACTTTAACGAAAAGCTTCCGGTACTGTTCACTTTAACGAAAAATCACATTTTTACACTAAAAATTCAATCCTAATACTATTCATTTTACCCTTTATTTTGTCATTATCATTAAAATTCAAAGTTTTCAAGTCTTTTTCATTAGTTTTTCTTTTAGAATATTGTAGAGCATATGATGTGACAATTGATGACTAATTATCTTAAACTTTCTTTTTTCCAATTAAAAACTGAAGTGAAAACCCTAGATGCTTGAAGAGAACATGCGTTAGTGGGTTTTTTTTTTAGTTTCATTAAGTTGATATGTAATGAGTGCTTAGTAAAAAAGTGGACACAAAGGCGAATCCCCTAATCTAAAACAGTATTTTTTTATATCCTCATAACATAAACCTAAGGGGATAATGTGTCAATTCAAACGTCAAGGGTATACACATCAATGTTTAATCATGTTCGTTTTTAGTTTTTAGTTTTTTAATTGATTCAATATGATGGTCATAAATAAAGAGAAATATGTAAAAAGCTTAATGATGTGTGTGTTATCATCTCTCTGTTTTCAAACACGTGCAGTGATCCACTTGAGTATGGTATTAAAGAGCACTCAAGTGGTGTATAGGGATCTATTTCAACAGCACAAATTTATCGTTTGCTACGTGAGTGTGCATAACAACACAATGTAACTTGGTAACTTGGTATTCACTCCCTAACGTGTTGGGTCGTGGACAATATTTATAGAATAATGCCTCTTCAAATGCATAACAATATTTCGTTTATTCAAATTCGGATTAACTATAAATAATTTAATTTTTTATATAATTTGAAATTTAAGTTATTAATATGTATATGCGTTCATATTCTTACATCATTTAATAAACAAATTTAATAATTTAGTACTATATATTCTCGTGTACTGCACGCCATGCTGATTTCAAATCTCAAGTCCAAGTAGGGTGAAAGGGAAAAATGAAGAAGAAAAGAGAGAGAGAAACACAAGAAAGTAGAAAACTTCTGGGGAATTCTACGTGCTCACTTTTAGGTAACATTCCAACCAATGCACTAAAACTTTCCATTGTCTAACATTATTTTTGATAGGTTAATTGGTCATATAATTCATATATTCAAATTTCTTATTATCTTGAATCATACGATGGTGATCATGGAAAAGTTAAAATGTCTCTGTAAATTTTTCCGACTCTCAAATAAGCTATAAATTTAAGAATGTTGTGAAAGACAATTTTGCTCGTCACGTAGGACTAGAAGTTTTCTGTTTGGCGAACAAAGGGACTTTTTTGCGGTTATCTGGAGCAGTAGAGAGGACATAATATGGGCCGATGGCTTCGAACTGAAGCGTCCCTAAAGTGGATTTTACTTTAGTTGGGCCAATAGTCTGGCCCCCTTTTTGTAAAAGTAAATTGGACTATAAAATCATAAAAGAAAATATTTAAAAAAAATCAAGTCAAGAGGAAAGATTTAAACTCAAAATGCAATGGGTTAAGAATCAATGTTGTGACTAACAGAGTTGGAACAAAATAAAGAGTCAGATACCAAATTAAACATATGAGAGATGTCATCAAACTAAACACAAATAAAAATAAATGAGAAATGAACACATAGGAGATATTAAATAAACAAAATGTTAGGCCACATGATGTGACAATTGATAGTTGTTTATCTCTTTAAACTTCTTTTTTTCTAATTAAAATGGAGTGAAAAACCTAAATGCTGACCCTAGATGCTTGAAGAGAACATGGATTAGTGGGTTTTTTATTTTTTTATTTTTTATTTCATTAAGTTGATGTGTAATGAGTGCTTAGTAAAAAAAGTGGACACAAAGGCAAATCCCCTAATCCAAAACTGTATATAAATATATCATCATAGGACAAACTTAAGGAGGTAAAGTGTCAATCGATTCCTCAAGGGTATACACATCATGTTTGATTATCTTCTTTAATTTTTTTTTTTAAATTTATTCAATATGATGGTCATAACATAAATAAAAAGGAATATGTGAAAAAACTTAATGATGTGTGTGTATGTTATCATCTCTCTGTTTTCAAA